ACAAGGCACAATGCAAGGTGTCTCCTCGCACTATTGCTATTTGACATAGCAATGCGAGTACCAGCGCACTGGATTAGAATAAAGAAATCAAAAGTACTCAGATGAGAAAGGAAAATAGAAAAACAGCTTTGCTTCCAAAAGACGTAATCTGACATAGAGAAACTTTTAAAACACCACAAAATGCAGAAAAAAAACTTGAATTTCCATACACACACTGAAAAAACATCAATTCTACCTGTAGTGTCATCAAAGGGGATGAAGGGTTTAGGAATAAATTTATCCAAATAAGTGAAAAAGCCTTAACTGGAAAATCAGAAGATATCAATTAAATAAATAGAATGAATGCATGTAAGTATGAATACTTTCCTTCCATGACTCAGAAGAATTAATGTCAGTAAATATGGCCATACTACCCAATCTGGATATTCAAAGAAATTCTTATTAAATTACCAAGTCGAGGAGAAAAAAAGCCCTAACATTCATATGGAACCTCAAGAAACTATAAATATCGAAGCAATCCCAAGAAAGAATAAATCTAGAGGTATCACACCGTGACAAGCGAAGGCTTCTACAAGAGAACACAGCATCTGTGTGCACGGGCCTGTGCTGCACAGGAAGCCGCCCTCACAGCCGCTCAGGCCCTGCAGGCTCATCTTAGTATAATCATCTTGGGGGTAAAATGAAACCAAGCTTTATTATGCACCTGCTATTTGAGGTGTGCTCACTTCCTCAACAGAATTCAAATTATCCATTCCCTTCTTATAAAAAATTTTATTTACTTATTCCACTGTTATTGATTGATGCTTTATAACATAATTTTATTTTAGTTACAAAGGAAGGGATTGGAAGAGGTTGTAAAATACACAAAACACCTATCACACTGTATATCAGAAGGATCAGAGAAAGATGCTAGCAATTATAATTCGCTAGACAGAAGTCTTGGGCAACTTAGCTGAATTTTGTTGAGCTCAGGGGTAGCAGTGGATAAGATGTTGCTTGGGGCATTCACATCTCCTATCAGAGAGCATGGATTCATGTGTTAGCTCTGGTCTCACTTCCAGCTTCTTGCTAACATGTCCCCTGAGACACAGAGGCTCCTGTCATTCCTTCCGTCCACACGGGAGCCCTAGGTAGAACCTTCAGCTCCAGGCTTTCACCTGGCCTAATCCCAACTGTTGTAGGAAGTGACTCAGCAGTTGGGAGCAGTCTTACCTTGTCCCTGTCTCTGATTCTTCCTCTCTCTCTTTCTCTGATTTTGTGTGAAAAGTTAAATATACATATATATATTTAATTCTATATAATTATGAATACACATATTAAATATATACATATATTGGATAAAATAGGTAAGTCCTATTTTTCTCAAGTGTAGAATGAAATTGCAGTTATTCTCGTTACAAGGTTATTTCAAATATAATAAAGATGGAATGGGCAGATTATTTGGGACATAATAAATGTTTCATAAATCATTTCCACTACAATGCATAAAGACAGTGAGAAAAAAAGAAGTCACACCAAAAAATCCATCCTTTGTATAAGATCACTGGGGAATCCACATCTGCATAACAGATGGCTTTTCTATGAGAATGCCATTTCTGTTCTTATTTCTCATGTTTTCCCAATTTCTTGTACCCTGAACATACAGATTTCTCATGGATCATGTGAATAAAGTTGTATTTTTCTAGCTGGCTTTCATCTTGGTTGGCCAGTTGCACTGGAGAGTGGATTCTGACCCCTGAGCCTTGCCGAGCAGGTGAGCCCCCATGAGCTCTGGTCTCCTGAGGAAAACAACCTACCTGACTTTTAACAGGCAAGAGCTCAGCAGGGATAGCTGAGTTAAGAATCAAAAACTGGGCACATGTGCCATCGACTGCTGAGTCAGGGAATAAATGCTTGATCTTGTGGCTAAAACATTCACAAACAGAAACCTGGATTACTTGTGTGGTTTTTTGTTTTTGCTTTGTTTTGTTTGTTTTGTTTGCTAGCCATCAGAGTTAAAAGTCTGATCTATTATACTAGCTTTGCAGTGGACTGAAAGCCTAAGGGAAAACACTGGAGAGCTACAAAACACTTCAAAAGGAATGTGAAGAAACAGGATTAAAAGCTGTATATTTTGCTACAAATGTTGAAATCCATATGTACTTTTCATAATATGTATTTTGCATTAACTGTTTGAATATTGTTCTATGAATAGACTTTTTTTTGCAGCAAAATACTTTCAATTCCAGAGGCAGAGACAGAGAGAGGAAGGGAGAGAAAGAAAGAGAGAACTCATCATCTGCTAATTCAGTCCTCAATGACTACTGTGGACCCTAGCTGTGTCCAGAGCTAGGAACTCAAACTAGGTCTCCCACATAGATGTCAGGGACCCAACTTCTTGAGCCTGGGGCTTGCCAAGGGGTGTGCAATATCACAGAGCTGGTACCTGAACCCAGGCACTTCTGTATGGGGTGTAGATGCATCAGGTGGCATCCTATCCACTACCTCAAACACTTGCCTCTACACTTGTGCTTTGATTAGGGTTTCCACAAACTTTATAAAGTGCCCTTGACTGTGTCACATCCACTGAATGAAGCACGCTGGTCATCACCTGAATGGACAACCATGAGCATCTTCTAGGACTCCTCATTTACCACTCACCACACGAAGATGACATTGTTCCAGAGGAAGAGGCAAAGATGAGATTCCTCCCCATGAACTATGCTCACAAATATCCACCACCTGGCACATGTAACAGACAAATAATGGCATGATCACGTGCCAGCCCAAATCTGTGCAGGTATGGGGTTTGTCAGACACATCTGGGTCTTGTGGAGGTAAAACACATACTTTCATCCTTATTCTCAACCTAAGAGTGACTTTATTACAGCCCAATAAATCTTGTATTTTTTTTATTTTAAGTTTTCATTATTATCATTGTTATTATTATCAAAGAAAGGATGCTTATCTAGCTATGGGTGTTGTTGTGGCAAAGCAGACAAAACGAAAACTTTTCAACATGACTGCTTTCTGGCTAAACCAAGGCAGATTATGGGTATTTTTACATCAACAGGGGAAAAAAAAATGAAGAAAATGTCAGACAAGATGAAACACTCAGCATTATTACTCAACATAGTTCTGAAAGTTTTAGCCAGAGTTTTACACAAGAAAGAGAAATCAAGGAGATATGAATTGGAACATAGGAAGTCAAATTAGCCTTATTTTCAGCTGACATGATCCTTTGCATAGAAAAATCAAAAGACGCCACCAAGAGATTATCGGAACTCATAAAAGAGTTAGGCAAAGTTGCAGGATAGAAAACCAACCATGTAAAAGTCAATAGCTTTGTAGACACAAGGAATATCAGAACTGATTAAAATAATTGTAAGATAAGTCCCATTCACAACAGATAAAAGCACTTAGTGTGGGATAATGATAACAAAGATGTGAAATTTCTCGACAATGCAAGTTATAAGTCACTAAGGAAAGAAATAGAAGGAGACACCAATAAATGGAGAAAGATTTCATAGTCTGGAAGAACTAACATCAACAGGTTCATACTATCAAAAATAATTTACAGATTCAATAAGATCCCAATCAAACTATCAAAGAAATTCTTTGCCAATAAAACAAAATAGCAACAACTCCAAAAAGCTAAAATTCTTATTAAATCACATTATACTCCAAACAGTTATAAAGCAATCCTAAATAATAAAAATAAGCTGGTGATGTCACAATAGAGTTTCAAGGTATATTACAGGGAAGTTACAGTCAAAACAGCCAGATATTGGGAGAGAGATTAACACATGGAGTCATATTTGCTGTAGCTCAATTCATAACTAAGACATTAAATCAACACAAATGTCTAATAATTGATGACCAGAAGAGGACAATCTGGCACATATATATGATGGAATATCACTCAGTAACAAAAAAGTAAAACCCTCAAAATGAGGATTTTGCTGATACAGTTTACATTTTTTTTACGCTGTGTATTAGTTTCCACAAAATTTGGTTTAAATCCTTTGCTTATACCCTTGAGCAATAGTGATTTTTTTTCTACTTGCCATGTGCTGAATCTCTGTTGAATGAAGTGCTAGTTCTGTGATTATGAAGTGAAATAAAAATATGCCTCTGAAAAAGTTTTTTTTTATTTTAAGAAAGAAGAAAGGTGGGTGGAGAATGTGGGCAGGAGGGAAAGGTGGGTGGCAAGTATTACTGTGATTCTGTTTTTGTGAAATACGTGAAGTTGTTCACTTTATATAAATAAGTTTAAGTAACAAGGAACCAAATAATAGTTTTTAAAGTTTTGAAATAATTTTGAAGTAAAAGTTTCCATTGGGGACCTTTATGTTAGTGATATGTTTCCAAAATAAAAATATCCTGCGTTTTAATCCACTTGTGCATCTAATATACAAAGCAAGAAAGTTGTTATGTGATTACATTGGATGTTTTTGAGATTCGATTCTGAAACTTTTGAGGAACTGTGGGCTTTCTTCTTATAGTTTTTTTTAAATTTAGTTGATAGTTATGTTTTTATTATAAAGTAAATCAAAAGTAAAAATTAAGATAAAGAAAGCAATTGCAGAATATTCAAATGTAGGAAGGCAAAAAATATTATATGCAAGACTGATTATATTTACATAAAAGGTATTCCCTTTTCATAAATAAACATATTTTTGAATCAATAATAAACATAATCAGGCCTAATTAATGAGTATGATACCCTTTGCTGTCATGGAACTTGTTTCTAGTGTTAATAAAATCCATGTTAATCCAGTCTGAATGGCAAATCATACACAGCTGTAACATAACCCTTAGCCAAAGAAGTTGAATTCTCCCAACAGAGCAATTCACCGTGATCGAGTTCCTGTCATACACTGTCAACTGGGATGCTCTCGGAAACTCAGAGATTTGAAGAGACAGGTACATTATGAAAATATGAGGGAATGAAGTGGCAAGAGCAAAACTTAACCTGACATGGTAGAAATTAGCAAGATAAAAACTGTGGATTTACTTACCACCGTGTAGATCTGATGCTTTCGTCTCTTAGCCAGGTCGATTATGTTTACTCCATTGTAGTAGAGATTTTCAACACATCCATGAAAATTTTTCTTCAAAAAGGCCCCTGGCTTGCCTGGGACAGGAATTCCTCCAAAGCTAAGCTTTATGGGCAGGAAATAGAAATAACTGCTTGGTTATAAGCTCTAAAGGAATAGACAATAAAAGTTAACAAACGCAGTAGATTAAAACATGTGCAGGAGACAAGCGCCTGAAATATTATGGTTGACACTTGATTATGAATTTGAAAGGATACTGATTAGTGCATACAAGCATATCTATAATTCTTTATAAAGATTTATTATGTTTTTATTGCAAAGTCAAAGAGGAGGAGAGACAGAGAGGAAGATCTTCGATCCATTGATTCATTCCCCAAGTGGCCGCAACGATCGGAACTGTGCCAATCCAAAGCCAGGAGCCTGGAGCTTCTTCCAGGTCTCCCACATAGGTGCAGGGTGTCCCTGGGTCGTCCTCAACTGCTTTCCCAGGCCACAAGCATGGACCTGGTTGGAAAGCAGAGCTGCCAGCATTAGGACCGATGCCTGTATGGGATCCCAGCACATGCAAGGTGAGGACCTTCACTGCTGAACTACCGCACCGGGCTATATCTAAAAATCTTAAGAGCCTATTTTTCAAAACCATTTCCCATTTTTGAACTGTCTGAAAGTACATAAAACAATAACTTAGAGATGGAGGGAAAAGAATAAAGAAAATCAACACCTTTATTCTTATTTTTGCAAACATCTTAGAGAATATAGTCATAGTAAAGAGAGACAAGCAAAGCATACCTCTATTCAATTATAGATATCTAGATAAAGCCTGCATTGTATGCAAAAAGACAACAGAAAACATTACTCAAAAGTCATCATCTACAAAAATGAAAATCAGGAAAAATGCCATAATAGCTCAGTAAGGCGAATAAAAATCAGTATCATGTGATCTTACAGAATTGACAATTAGGCTGCTTATTCAAAAATTGTGGCAAAACAGGAAATGAGTGAAATTCTGATTGAATTGCTTGCGAATTATAATTGGTTACAAAGTATCATCTCAGCAGTCAACAGTGGTCTATGAAATACATACCAGAAGGTTACACAAAAAGCTACTTAATTCAGAAAGCACAAAGAGCTTCAGCAACTCAACAACAAAACAAACAACCTTGTGAAGTGTGGGTGAAAGAAATGAACAGATATTTTTCAAAAGAAAAAAAAATCCCAATAGCTACTAAACATATGAGAAAATGCACTGGCTCCCTCGTTATCAGGGAAATACAAATGAAAACCACATTGAGGTTTCACCTAACTCCAGTGAGATCTGCCTACTCTAGAACTCTACTAACCACCCCCACTGGCGTGGATGTGAATGAAAGATAACCTCCTTCACTGTTGATGGGAATGGTGTCTAGTACATCCACTATGGAAGTCAGTATGAAGAGTGCAAAGACAACTGAAAATTGATCTGCCATATGACCCAGCTCTCCCACTTCTGGGAATATAGCCAAAGGAAATAAGCTATGCATATGTGAAAGGGATCTGTAACCCTGTATTTATGGCAGCATTATCTTCAAGAGCAACCCAGAAGCTCATCAAAGAGAAGTGGATACATGGAATACTACTCATCCATTTAAAAGAACAGAGTCTACCACTTGCAAAGAAATGGTCCCGACTAGAAACTATTATGCTCAGTGAAATAAGTCAATCCCTAAAGGAAAAGCATCATACGCTCTCTCAGAGATAAGACAACCTTCATGCAAAATATAAGATCATATATAAATAAGTAAACGTGCATGTACTTATAATCATCTAGAGGAACTGTATATTAGAGACTAGCACAACAAGAAGTGAAGATACAGTGCTATATGTCTCTGCTAGGGTTAATTATCAAGGTGACTGTATTCCTGGAAGTCTGGAATCTCCAAAGCAGCACTTGCAGTCTGTTACAGGAAAAAACTGCTGCTTCCTGAAACATCACAAAACAGACAGGAAATAGAAAGGATCTTGGAGTTTGAAGATTTATGGGAAAGACAGCAACCTTCGAGGCTTGCTGTTTTACGACTCTCTGCATTGAAGTGATAGGATCGAAATCTCAAGCCTTTGCATTGTAAATTTCCACTGCTTGCTTTTGCTTTGTGTCACGAAAAAGCCCCTAATCATGTATTTGCCCACTGTCACGTAGCTATTAATTTTCACATAGATATTTGCTATAAAAACCCCACACTGACTTTGTTTGACGTGCTTCTTGTTCATGGCAAGAGGTGGCCGCCTGACTGAAGATTAAAATTATTTCACTTGCCTCGGAGTTTGCTCAATTTCTTTGAACCCCAACTCTACTTCCAAATCAAAGATGGATTCCCAGTGAAACTGTTGAATATACCTTATAATAGAATGCTGGACTTTTTCATGCCTACAATGTCAGAATACATTTAAATAGCCAAACAGTGGATGCTTGACTGTTTTTGAAGGCTTATACTATTGCAATACAATGGGGACAAAGCAGTGGGGGTGGAGGAGTGAAGAGAAATCTCAGAGCCTTTGATACTATATCATAAAATTAATCAATAAATTCAAACAAAGGGAAATAAATGACCAAGACTTAGTTTAAAAAGCTATTTAATAATGGTGGGGAAGTTATGGGGTAATGTTGTATTATTGATTTATTTCCAGTAAATATAAACACAGATTACAATTTTTAATGGGCATACCATTTTAGAAACAAACCTGGACTATTTAGAATGCTTTTACTACAATGTAGAGAAATAATTATTTCCATACTTGTGTTTATATTAACCATTTCATGAGTAACCCTAGTTTTTTTTTCCCCTTGCTTTGAAATGGACTCTTCAGTTTGGAATTAAACTATATTCATAATAGGATTATCTCTCTCTCTCCACACAAGCACACAAACACAGTACATATATGTATTCACACATACACACACATAAAGTGATGCCAAGCATAACTTCTAAATGTTTGTATTTTTCTTAAGTTCCACACTATTTCTCTCTCAAAGAAAATATTTTAACATACTATAGATGATAGTGATTATTAATCCTTCTGTGATTTTTTTCAAATATTTATTTTTATTTGAAAGGCAGATTTTACAGAGAGAAGTAAAGGTGTATGCAGAAGGTATTCCATCCACTTGTTCACTCTCCAGCTGCCTGCAACAGCCAGAGCTGAGCTGATCCAAAGGAAGAGGATTAGTCGGATGTGCCTCTGTGCAATCTTTGTCTCACTATATATATATGATATATATATAATAAAATATATAATATATAATACATATATTATCTTCCACACATGAGAGAATACATTTGCTATTTTTAGCATTTATCATTCAGTATCTGGTTTATATTACTTAATGTGATAATATCTAATTGTTTGTTTTTGCTGTGTCAGAAATTCATTCTCTTTATGGATGAATAAAGATCCATTGTGTATGTGTGTACATATATATACATATCATATTTCCTTTGTTTAGTCATCTGTTGATAGACATATAAGTCAATTTCATAGCATTGCTATTGTGAATAGTCCTGCAATAAATGTGAAATGAAGCTATCTTTTTATTTCTTAATAGTTCTTTTTTTGCTTGTTTATTTATCTGAAACAGGGAGAGAGAGAAAAAAGAGAGAGAGATTTTCCATCCACTGGTTCACTCCAAAGAGACCACAGCATGAGGGGCTGAACCAGGCCTTAAATAGAAGCCTAGAACTTTCCTTGTGAATAGCAAGGCTCACATACTTGGTCCTTGAGCTGTATTCCCATGGCCAGTGTCAGGGAACTGGACGGGAAGTCCAGCAGTCTAGACTGTTTCGGCGTTGATCTGTGTTATCAGGCACGGTGGTGTATTTTAAGTCACTGTGCCACAATGATGGCCCTCGTATTCTTTCAGACGCTGACATTCCTTTTGCAAGTAACACCAGAAGCAGGATTACTTGAGCACATGACATATGCATTTGTAAATTTCGAGGACTCTCTGTGCTCTTTTCCAAAATGGTAGGCCTCTCTGTATTGCCAAAGGGTTGTCTTTTCTCTCCATCTTCTCTGCTTAGCTATTAAAGGTCATTTCTGTTTCCATGTCAACTTCAGGATTATTGGCCCTCATGCTGTAAAGAGTGTCATTCCTATTTTGACACAGATTCCATTTAATCTTTAAATTGTTTGGGATCACATGGATATTTTAGTAAGAGTAACTTTTTAAATCCATGAGCACAAGACGTTTTTCCACTTTTGGTGTCTTTTAATTCTTCACTAACGTTTCATCCTTTTGATTGCACAGGTCTTTGTTATCCTAAGCTATATTTTTCCTAAGAGATTGCATTTTCTTAAGCTACTGAAAATGGAATAGCTCTAATAAGTGATTATCAACAAGCTTTTAGTGTGTGAAAATTCGGATGATCTTTGATTTTTGTATCCTGCAGCTTTGCACAATGTTTGAGTCATTTACACTCACTAGAGGTTTCATTATGTGAATTATCTTCCTGTTCTATTGTTACTGATTACTTTTTTCTACTTAGTAAATTGTGTATACTTTCAGGTTAGATCATGTAGTTTTGAGCTAATTATACATATAAGTATATTCATGGGTGATTTATGAATATATAAAGTTGGAATATTATTTAGGGACAATAAAAATACTGAGAGTGCACTTATTAATTTTGAGAAACATCTTGTAAAACTTTTTTTTTTGTTTAGTTATTACATAATGATATGATTTGATTCACTATATTATTCATATATCTTCAATGTTAGCAACTTAAAAATTTAAAAATAATCCATTTCTTAAATATTTGTGTACATGGCATTTGTAATGTAAAAATACAGCTACAATTTTGTTCTGTTTTCCTGTTAAAATGCATGAAACAGATGTTTGGAGATTTGATGATTGTCTGTATTCCTTGTCTACTCTGTTGCAGAGCAGTCTTCTTTTGTTTTCTATCTATGGCATTCTTTATTCAGCGGAGGCTTAAGCCTATACTGCCAAACAAGTTAGAAGTGTGTTATTGTAAGAACATATAGAAAAAAAAAAAAAAGAAAGAAAGGACAAAGTGTGGAAGGTTTACTATGGGCTTAAATATTTATATATGAAATGTTAAAAAAAA